CTCGCCTCTCGGGGCCTCTCGGCGCCAGCCAGCGCCGGCTCTGGTGGACCCGCGCGCCTTCACCTGGGAACGCCGCGCACCCCCGGGGCCTGGGTCCTTCGCTGCCTGGAGTCCGAAGCCAGCTAGAAAAGATGAGGGGCTCCCCAAGGGCGACCCTCCCAGCCTAGAATGGGGACGCGGACCACACCTGGTGCATGGGGCGCCCCTGGGCAAATTTGACGAGTTGCCTCACAACCTGTGCGTCCCCCACCCCGCATACATTTTGAGCGCTTTAAGGTAATGACGGAGCCCCTTCCGGCTTCACCCAGTGTCTCAGGTTCCTCCAACGAACAGAATCCTGCATTCTGGTGGCAGGACCACCCATGCTTTGCAGCCCCGACAGCACCCAATTCGGTGCGTGAGGCCCTGAGTGGCGGCTTGGTACGTCTGAAGGGCGGGCTGACTGGGGAGACTTCTGGCCCCAGTTCTCTACTGGGGCACCGGCTGGTGGAGCCACCTCCTCGTCCGGTGGGCCTGCTTTCCCGAGTCACGCCAACCGGTCCACAGCTCGGGGGCCTCTCCTAGGCACGCCAGTGACCTCGCCATTTAAGGACCTGGTGCTAAAGCGGTCCCATTCTCTCCCCAACACACCAGTATTTAACAGATTACTATTTATTGAGCACCTCCTGTGAACCAGCTTTACATAGAGGCTGTTGTGGTGAAGAAAATGCGGAGCTGACCACCAAGTTACAATAAGGAATCAGAGATTTAGAGAGGTTTAGTGACTTGCCCAAAGTCACACAGCTATTGAATGATAGGACAAGATTTTGCACGGAGGCCACATCTTTTTCTATCGAGCAACTTAGCTTTCCTTTATCAAATTTGCTCCCAGAGAGGGACAGCCTAACACGATTTCACACCAAGGTGCTAATGACACACATACCTAATGCCTTTGTGTTTGCAACTGATTTTAAAGAGGAAAGCCCTGAACATATTGTGTGGTGTTTCTTAAATATAAGGGAAACTGATATTTTAAAGGTAAAATTTTCTTAGACCTCCTGAGTCTTGGCTTAAATTATTTTCTTTTAAAATGTTGCATTAATATATATAGACATAAAGCCATATATAAACTTGTTCCAGCTTTTAAACAACTCATAAATAAAACCAAAACAAATTTACAAATTAAATATAAAAATTCCCTTCCAGAACAATAAAAATTAAATCAGTAATGTTTCCTTAACTACTGCCAGCATCATGTGGTACTAATTGCTCAGGTGGGGACCTTGAGTTCTCTGTGGCTCCACCACTTGTGTGTGAGATGCCCTACACTGACCCAATTCTCTCACCTCTTTACTCCTCCATTCCATCTACCACACCTCCTCTACTCACACCATATGTCATAACATTTGGCTTTCACCTGACTCTAATCCACCATTTAGGGATTAATTTTGTGCCATTCCTTTCTTATTAGCATAGCAAGTGAAGTGGTAACTCTTGGTGCCAAGGAGTAGTACACACAGGCACTGAAATCAAGAGGCAGTGCTTGGTATGAGATGGTTTCCCAATGACCCAGGATGTATTTATATTTTTTAATCATAAAAATGAAAAAATATTAAATTATCGATATCCGAGGTTCTATGGCTCCCAACTGGAGAGACACGATTAAAAGTCAAGAACCTTTCTTAATAAAGGAGCTGGTGGTGAAGTTGGAAGGGTCAGGGGAAGAAGGGAGAGACTTGTTAACCACGCCTAAGTTGTATTAGGTTTACTCCAGTCCAACAAATATTTGTTGAGCACTCATTAACCTTTCTGTGCCTCAGTTTCCTCCTCTGTAAACTCAGGACTACCTCATAGGGTATTTTAAGAATTGAATGAATTAATACATAGAGTTCTTAGAACAGTTTTTTATACCCAGTAAGTTCTTAGTAAATACTGGTTATTGTTATATCTATCATGCAAAAAGAATGTGCCTTAACTCTACTTTGGAGAACAGTCCTCCAGAACAATTTCAACCCGTTTTGACGTTCATTGTCCATTTTTCCTAGCAGTTGTAGTGTTTCAAGGTGGAGTCATGGAGAACAAGAAAATTATTCCCATCACTCGGCGAAAGAAACCAAGGCACAGAAGGGCCCAAGATCACATCCCTTCCTCAACCAGTTTCCAGGGCTATCGCCCACAACCCAAACAGCTAACAAGCAGGCGCTCTAACTACAGATGACCCATGGGGGCTCAGGGCTTAAACAAGCACTATCTGGTCTTGTTGTTTCCTGGAGCTGTCAATAGTAAAATGAGGGAATACTACATGGCTTTGAGGTTGTTTTCGCAATTGCCATAAGGACACTAACAAGGACAGATCTGTAAAGTACTTCAACCTCTGAGAGAAATGTCCTGCGTCAATAGCATGATAGGTGTCCTCATGCTGAGCGTAGATGTTTGCTTTTATTTTTGTATTTGCCCACTCCCCCTCCCATCTCNTTCATTGTCCATTTTTCCTAGCAGTTGTAGTGTTTCAAGGTGGAGTCATGGAGAACAAGAAAATTATTCCCATCACTCGGCGAAAGAAACCAAGGCACAGAAGGGCCCAAGATCACATCCCTTCCTCAACCAGTTTCCAGGGCTATCGCCCACAACCCAAACAGCTAACAAGCAGGTGCTCTAACTTCAGATGACCCATGGGGGCTCAGGGCTTAAACAAGCACTATCTGGTCTTGTTGTTTCCTGGAGCTGTCAATAGTAAAATGAGGGAATACTACATGGCTTTGAGGTTGTTTTCGCAATTGCCATAAGGACACTAACAAGGACAGATCTGTAAAGTACTTCAACCTCTGAGAGAAATGTCCTGCGTCAATAGCATGATAGGTGTCCTCATGCTGAGCATAGATGTTTGCTTTTATTTTTGTATTTGCCCACTCCCCCTCTCATCTCCCCAACAAATCTAAACAAAACCAAAGCCCTCATGCTTAGATCAACTCCATTACTGAGTTGTTAAAAATGTGCATAAGAATTGTGTTGTTAAAAACACATTCAAGGCAAGGCCCCCACATTTACTGACTGCCCACGCTGTATGAGGTTACTGGGGCTGGGGGAGAGTAAAGCAAATACCCCTCACTTCAAGGAATTTATGATGGACATGGATTGTGGTACAGACATGAGCTAGAGAGCATGGAAGAGGGAATCATTAATTCCCACTCTGTCGGGTGCTGAAGGCTTTCCTGAGGCAGTAGGATTTGAGCTAAGCTCAAAGGATGAATATCTGCGAATATCTGCACAAGGAATTAAGATACATTTGTCTCGCTGGAATCACAAACTACTTTGTACCATAGACAAGAAAAATCTCCACTGGATAGATGAACAAATCAATGACTGAATGAAGGAGGCAGAACTAGGACTAGATTATAATAATTATAGCTATGTTTATCGAATACATACTATGTGCCAGGAACTGGGGAATATACATTATTGCATGTCATCTTCAAGACAATCGGAAAAAGGGAGACTATTATTTTCCCTATTTTTTGCAGATGAGGAGACTGAGGTTCAAAGTGATTGAATAGTACACCCAGTGCCATACTATCCTCACAGCTGTGGTTTCTACCCAGTCTGTCCCATTC